AATATTATTGTGTCTATCAAAATTGCATGAGTAAAAATATTGCTGCTCCCACTTATGTGCTTCCATTGCGTAACTTGTATACCAATAGAATGTCACGAAAGATTGGGTAAAGAGCCGGATGCTTCATGGGTTAGAAAGCATGTTGATCATGCTTTTGGAGTCTGCAAATTGCGTGGAGAGTGAGTTGACTTGGTTGTGTAAACTTAAGTCCATCGAAGATGGCATAGCACTCAGCCCGTGGAGCACTACTCAGGAGATAGTTGTTGCATCCTATCGAAATCTTGCAGCTTCTTTAGTCTGTGATAAGGAATCTAGTACATGTAGGAGAAAAGGTGGAATCAAAGGAGCCATCGCAGTATATGAACATAGTTTGGGTTAATATTGGGAAGTGATAGGTGTGTAGGGGTGTACTATTAGGAATTGAATTAGATATTATTGTACAGGTAGGCTGGAAGGGAGGGGTGAGGGAGGAGATCCCTCCGGGAGCATCTTGGATTCAAACCTATTAATGCTTTCCACTATATAGATTTGATATGACATCGATAATTATAAAAATAATAATTGTTCCTATGTTTCCATATGAGCTAGAGACTATTGGCTATAAAAGCTTTTAAAAAATTGGTAGCAGGTTGATTTTGTGTGCCATGAAGACAAGAGTCGAAGAAGTAGAATTGATAGGCTAGTTTTATAGAAGATACTAGTAATTTAGGGCACAGATATATTCAAAGAAAATATGGATAACAAAATCTTTGACTTGAGTTGAAGGATGGATAAATAAATATATAATTATACAAGAATAAGGTTGTGTACTCAGTGAGAAATCCGTTTCATAAGAGTTTCTAAAGAAAATTTTTAACCTAAGAAATCAAAAGTAAGCATCAAATTAGCATCCACCCAAATTCATGAATTCCTCATCCCATAGAAATGTATACATAGTTTTTGGTATAATCATTCCCATGAGATATATAGATAAGATGGATTGAAAGATATTAGGTCTAAAAAATTGGTCAAGGGGTTAGTGTTATAATAGTTATGATTCATGAGGTTGTTAATAATATTGAAAGAGGATAAGGAATCTATATTGATATACATGGGCCAGAAGACTATTGGAATATTACATATCTAGAGTCGTTCTAGATTGAAGTATTTCTACTATTTTGAACTATTTTTTAAATCCCAACTTGGAAGTGTCAAGTAGATGGTAAAGGTTTTTTCAAGGGATAAAAGCTTTCTTGGAATAGCTCTGTCAAGGATGAAATAGAAAGTATTTATTACTGAGAAGTTTAACCCAAAGGTTATGAGTTGTTTAGGAGTGAAAGGAGTATTTTAGCATAGATGGTAGTCTTGACTAGATTAATATTCATAGTTCCTAGGCCCCCCTCAAACTTGGGTCAAGTGATACAACTTCGATTAATGAGAAATAATTTGTTTTGATCATTGTTCTAAAAGAAATATCTAGAAAGTTTAAATTTAAGAAATATGATTGTGAGAGATCCAAGTGTTCATAAGAGTACGGAGAGGCATGACATTGACAATGGAGTTAATCATAATTGAATTGCCAACCCGAGAAAGCATGCTCTTATTCTAATTATTGAATGTGTTAAAGGAATTTCTAGATGAACTAGTTTGATAGCCTACCATGGTGGATATAGACACCAAGATAATTCAGTGGCTAAGTTCCCTCTTTTATTCCAAGGTGTTTGCGTATTTTATATTTGATACTAGGATTCCAAGAGGACAATAGATTTTCCTTTGTTAATTTGAAAATCCATGATGGAAGAATAGAGGTCAAAGGCTTTGATAAGATTTCAGTAGGACTTGTTATTAGCCTTGATTGAGAGGACATTGTTGATAAAGATGAGATGGGAAATTTAAAAGCTTTTGACATTAAAAGAAGTTATTTTATTTCTTGAGTCGACTTTGTTCAGGATGTTAGAAAGATTATGTTGCAATAAAACAAATAGGAGGTGGGATGAAGGGTATCCCTGCTTGAACTAGTGTGAGACGAAATTATTGATAATATAAAAGAAAATAGGCGAGGTGATGCATGAGTTAATATAGGAAATGAATTTGTAGGAAAAATTCATCTACTCAAGCGAGTTAGTAATAAAGTCTCATAAAAATATGTTAAAAGATTTGGCTAGATCCAGTTTATTCATAATTAAAAGGATTTGCCTTTGGAGTTGAATAGAGTTATTCATAATTAAATGGATTTATCTTTGGAGTTGAATAGTGTGAGAAAGCTCATAGATGACATAAATGTTATCATGAATGGGCTTTCCAATAATAAAAGACGATTAGTTTTGGTTGATAATCATATTGAGGCAAGGTTTAATTTGATTAGTAAGGACTTCGAAGAGCAGTTCATAGAGGATATTACAAAAGGAGATGGGTCTATAGTCTATAATCTTGGTTGGATTGGTAATCTTATGGATGAACACTAGGTGAGTCTTGATCTAAGAACCAAGTATGTTGTTGTAGAATTAAAATTCATTAAAGACTATGAGATTAGAAAGCCCTAAGACATTCCAATAATATTGCATAATTCAAGTATGTAGCCATCAAATTCAAGGC